TGGTTGAGCTATAGGCGCCGAGCCACAGTCACCTCTTTCTAAGGGAAGCCCTGTTGATGGGCCGGGTTACGTTTTTACCACGTGATCTCCATTCCCCTGACTATGTACGTAGACGGTAAGATTATAAAGTAAAGCCATGAAATATTTATCACAAGAGTCAGGATAGTGGATACTTCTGGACTAGAAGTAGGCACCCCTCTTCTCTTCTTTTTGTCTCCATAGGAAAGGCAACTTCTGCACAAAAGATACATGTACTAATCAGATTTCCAGGTTCCTAAACAATGGAGACTAACTCTGGTTAGTTAGAGAGTAAAGGGAGTTATTGGAAGGACACTGGATAGCTCATAAAATTGGAACGTGAACAGGAGCTTTGGGAAATCAGGCAGCCAGAAATAGAGACCAAATCAATACACAGGAAGAATCTGGTTGGTGTCCAATGTCTTTCATTGGCACAGCCACCACTGGACATTGGATACTCCCCTTCAAGCTTCCTTTTTCAGCCCTGGAAAGATTCTAAAAGCCATTTGCTTCTCTGTGCTACTCCAGAGTCAAGGTCTTGGGTAGAAGTGTCTAGTTGGAAGGTCCCATAACCAAATTCTGGAGACAAGGGCACTGGGAAAGGGGCTATTTGCCCACACTTGAGCTTCTTTATTGGAATTCTTCCCAAATAGGATGTGTATTTAGATACCGAGAGGCCACAAATGAAAAACACCTATCATAGGGAATACTAGAGATAAACATAACCTGGCCTCTGCGTGTCAGTAGAGAGGAGAAAAATGTAATATGATTAGTTAAGATCTGTGAAATTCATTGGGCCATTTTTTCCTTAGAGATGAGCGATTGTGTGCAGAATCACTGGACCAAAAGGCAGACAGGCTTCTCCTTCCTTCTGCTTTGCATGCATGACTCTTTCTCTTCTCTGGTTTCTCTGTGACTAGGAGTGGGCAGAGGGTGGAATTCTGATCAGCTGGGCTGGGCCAGGCAGCTGTCTTCAATTCAGGAAGGTGAGGCGTAACACCACTGCCGTCCCCACCTGGCTGTCGGGCTATGATTTTGGGTGCCTGATCTGATCAAGAAGACCACTAACATTTGGATTTCCATTTGGCTAGTGATTTGGAGGAAAAGAGAGGTGGGTGATAGGATTCAGACTCTAAATTCCACCCTAAACTTCCTGTTAGCAATCCTTTAGATTGACTGGTGATATAACCTGACATGAACATGCTGTATCAGATTCTTCTTCTGAGAATCTGAACTTGAGAAACTAAGACCTCAGCAGATGTAAAGAGAAAAGAGATTGTAAGAGGCTGTGAGATGGTTTCCTTAGTACACATGACCATCTACGATCAGCCTCAGGCCACAACAATGAAACCCAATCACATTAATGAACAAATGCTGAGTAAAACAATGAGTTAGATGCCTTCTTTTTTTGTTTGTTTCTTCAATACTGTTGGTAGGGGTATAAGACGGGGGTATTCTTAAAGTTTGCTGCTGAAAATACAGATTGCTACACTTTCTGAAAGCCAGCTTGACAATACGTATCACACTGTTAAAATTATTTATGTCTGGGCCAGATGTGATGGCTCACACTTACAATTCTAGCACTCTGGGAGGCCAAGGTGGGTACATTACTTGAGCTCATGAATTCGAGACCAGCCTGGACAAGAGCGAAACCCTGTCTCTAAAAATAACTAGGTGTTGTGGTGGGCGCCTGTAGTCCCAGTACTCAGGAGGCTGAGGCAAAAGGATCCCTTGAGCCTAAGAGTTTGAGGTTGCTGTGAGCTATGATGCTACAGCACTCTACCAAGGTTGACAAAGTGGGACTCTGTCTCAAAAAAAAAAATTTATTTATGTTCTTTTTTATTATTATTAAATGATAGCTGTGTACATTAATGCAATCATGGGGTACAGTGTGGTGTTTTCATATACACTTTGAAATATTTTCATCAAACTGGTTAACATAGCCTTTATGTCATTTTCTTAGTTACTGTGTTAAGACGTTTATATTCTACTCTTAGAAAGATTCACTTGTACCCTTGTAAGGTAAACCATAGAAGTGATCCCTCCAATCACCCTCCCTCCACCTATACCCCTCCCCTCCCTCTCCCCCCTCCCCATATTCTTAGGCTATAATTAGGTTAAAGCTTTCATATGAAAGCTATAAATTAGTTTCATAATAGGGCTGTGTACATTGGATACTTTTTCTTCCAGTCTTGTGATACTTTGCTAAGAAGAACATATTTATGTTCTTTGACCCAACAATTGCACCACATTTCTTAGACCTACTTTTTTTTGAGGTGGGATTTTGGTATGTTACCTAGGCTGGCCTCAAATCCCTGGGCTCAAGTGATCATCCTGCCTTGCCTCTCAGGTTGCTGGGACTACCGGTACACACCACTGTATCCAGCTATTGGACTGGATTTTAAAGAAAAATTTAACATGTGAAAAGGGATTTAGTTATAAAAGCTCATCACAATGCTGTTTATAATACAAATATTTCCAAACTGTTGGGAACAATTTCAGTGTTCGGTAGTACAGACTGGTTAAATTAGGAGAGAGGCTTAAGATCGTATATTCGGCCATTAGAAATGGTTTTGCAGAAACTTACTTTTAAGTGATTCAGCAAAAATAAACTGTGTGTGTGATAGAGTTCAAACACAAGAGAGGAATTGTGAGCAGAGAGCAAATGTGCCAAAACCGTGCGATTGGTAATCAGAAACTATGAGGGTCTGAGACGCATCTGTTGGTTTTGATTTTGGTTTTCTTTCATTTTTACACATCAGATGGGTAATGTGCCAACGTGAGGCTTATGAGGGAGGCACTTCTCACACAGGCCCATGAAATCCTACTCGTCATGCTTATGAACTACAAAAGGATCAGTTGGAGACTTTTACTCTACTTGCAAGCTAACTTGTTAACTTGCCATATATACAAATATATAAATACACACAGAGGGGAAAAAATGAGGTTTCTGAGTCAGAAACAAAAACAGCTAATCATTCAAAGCAAAGCAGCAGCCAGAGCAACATCTTGTGTTGGTTCCCAAGCCCCATCCCCACAGGGAGACAGAGTGAGGGCCAGATGGTACCTGCACATGCGGTGGGGGGCATTACAAGAGAGAAATCCTAAAATTCGGAAACTCTGATCTTATATATAACTGCTGGCGACCTGCCCATCCTCCTCTCCGGAGGAAGAGAAACCTTATCTTCATTCTGGAATGTAAGCAAATCTTCTCCAGGAGAGGGGGGAAAGTTCTCTATCTTTACTATCCTGAACCATCTCCAGGGAGAGAAATACATCTAAGCTTTACTATCCTAAGTCTTCTTATACCAGTGTAGGAAAACAGCCTGTTGGCATGGTTGAGAATGACGACATTTTGAAGTAAAACCACTATGATAACTGATGTTTAAGTCCTGCATACCAGGTGTTTCCATGGAGTAGCATAAAGAAACAGTGCCTAAAGATCTCTGCTAGGATTCAAACAGAAAAAACAATGCCAATTATTTACAGGGGTATGCCAATGTAATAATAACGTTTATCTTTGGGTAGGTAAGAACATCAGTTGTTTTAAAATGTTATTTCTGTTTGTATGTATTTTGCTTTTCTCCAAGGAATAGAGTGGTTTTATGATGACAATTATTTAGTTAGGTTAACACCTCAGCAAGGTGTTTAACCTCTCTAGTGTCTGAGGCTTGACCAGCTGCACATGAAAGCTTGCTATAGAAAGAATATTTTCTGGAGAGTGGGTGCAAGGGCCTTACGTGTTGCGTGAAGTTAATCATGAGTGGTCAGTGACACAGGTGTAGACTTGCATTGGAATTGTATAGCATAAAGAGGGCTACCACTCTTTGGATGGCAAATAGCAAAAATTTTTATTTTTTCCAGCTTAAATAGCCGGTGCAGCATGTACATGTTGTTAATGAATAGTCATACCATTACCTCACTAACATATTGTAAAAAGCAGACTCACTTTTTTAGTGAGACACTTACTTCTAAGTTATCTATTATACTCAAAACAGTAGCCATGAAGAAGCAGACTGTTAACTCCCTGGCCCACTTTTTGATAGATACGGAAACTGCTAAGGGGAAAAAAGGCCAATTGTTCTCCTACTCTTTGGAGCCTCAAGCCATCTGGAAGCAGTACTTTAATCTTGGAAAACCACAATTTGGAGGTCCTGGCGACATGCCGGTGACGCGCTTTCATGCCCCAGCCCCCTGGCCTGAGCACAGGAATTTTACCTTCTTGGTGCCAAGCCATATGGAGTTCTGCCTCAGTCTCTCCTGAATTGTGCCAGGCAAGATTTGTACCTGCGCACTCTCAGAAACGGCAGAGGCAAAGACATCCAGGCTTTCCACCTATACTTACATCTCAACACGGCTTCTATTCATAAGTTCCTATTCAATGTTTCTTTCTGGCTTTGTCTCCTGGAGATTGTTTATTCATTTCCAAGGCCTGCTGTCATAGATAAGTTGGGGAGCTGGACTCCATGGTACTGGTCAAGGACCCAGGGCACTCTGCACTCAGTGAAGCATTGACTGGCTATAAATCTAGTCGAACTAAAAATAGTCTGAAGATACAGCCATCTTGAAAGCAAAAGATATTTATTTTGACTTTGTAATCTATAAAGGGGGGGATTAGTTTAATGTACCCCATGCTGATGAATAACATTGCTGTGTGCACTATCACTGTGAGGGTGTAAAAATAACAAAAGAAACAAGAGGGCAAATAGTGCTTTGAGGAGATATTCTCACTGTTCTCTGAATTGCTGGCTCTTTTGTAAATAAAACTGTTGATCTCTCATTCGCTTCTCCGTTGATTGGCTTGGGTGAGAGGCAGATGGACTCACTGGTCTGGCAACAACTTTATGTTCCCAGGACTCCCGAGAGGAGTGTGTACCAAACCACACTTTGAGAAGCACTGAGACCTGGAGCTAGAAAATTAATTAGAAAATTAATGCTTTGGTAGGCAGGATATTGACTTCGCCTCTCTGCGCTCCCTGTTCTTAGCTAGTGTCCTGCGTGCACAGTGAACCTCTTCTGATACTTTTCACTTTTCTGTTGTTCATGTTCTCTTTGTTCTCTTTTTCTGGGAGATTGCTATAATTCTGTCTTCCAACCTAATTCTTTGAATGTTGCTTTAATTTCTTTTTTTTCTCTTTTTTTCCAGGCAAGCATGAAACAAAGGTTATTGAGGAAGAGAAATAAAGGTTTACAGAGTAAGAAAGTTTACAAAGAAAGATTTGAGCTCCATTGCCACAGCAAGTAGGCAAAAAGGCCTTTTGTGCTATTTTTTTTGTTTCAGATTTATTTGTATTAATGATAGAAAAATGATAAGATACATATCTCTCTGCTTTAAATCAGCACTGATATTTTTTCTCACCCAGTCTTCTTTTGGGGGGCTAATCCTTGTTTGTGACCTCCTTTTGTTTCTCTTCCTCAGTGAACCTTGAATCCCATTTGTTCTGTACCTCATTTTTTTATTTTATTTTTTAAAACTTTATTCAAATTAATATGAGGGGACAATAATTAGGTTACATTGTTCTCATTTCCAGGGTAAAGTTTCATTTGTAGAAGATGTTTCTTTAATTTCCTTTTTTTTTTTTTTTAGAGACAGAGTCTCACTTTATTGCCCTCAGTAGAGTGCTGTAATGTCACAGCTCACAGCAACCTCCAACTCCTGGGCTTAGGTGATTCTCTTGCCTCAGCCTCTCGAGTAGCTGGGACTACAGGCCACAATGGGAGCTGGGTTCAAACCCACCACCCTTGGTATATGGGGCCAGTGCTCTATCCACTGAGTCACAGGCACCGCCCGTGTTTCTTTAGTTTCTAATTTTTATTTGTAAATAGCATCCTGTTTTTGTTTTGTGGATATCATATCTTGTTATACCTTTTTAAGGATATTAATTGTTGTTTTCTTCTCCCTATATGGTCTCTATTTCTTCCAACTTCCTTTTAATGTTCGTTGTCCTCTTTGTCTTTTGCCCTAGAAGTTTTTTTTTCCTTTTTTTTTTTTTATTAGTTCATAGCTGTGTACATTGATACTGTCATGGGGTACAGTGTGCTATTTTTATATACAATTTGAAATATTTTCATCAAATTGGTTAACATAGCCTTCATGTCATTTTCTTAGGTATTGTGTTAAGAAGTTTATATTCTTCATTTAGAAAGATTCACATGTACCCTTAAAAGATGAACCATAGATGTGATCCCACCAATCACCCTCCCTCTACCCAGCCTCCCGTCTCCCTTCCCCTCCCTCTCCCCTTCTCCTGTATTCTTGGGCTATAATTGGGTTGTAGCTTTCCTATGAAAGCTATAAATTAGTTTCATAGTAGGGCTGAGTACATTGGATACTTTTTC